TTCGTCACTTTCACTTGAGCCACCTTCACTTGCAAATTCACTATCACTTTTCCTAGCTATCTATACTCTTATAGTCTTTCCAAAATTCTTGTATTTACCCTTGTATTTATCATTCTTAAGTTGCAGACAATCCGGTTTGTAGTGTCCGGTTTTACCAGATTTCAAGCATGAACTCTTAGGTTTTCCTTTCTTATTTTCATCATGTTTTGAGGAGTCAACTTATCTTCTAAAGTTGATGAGATTATTGTCGGAGTGCTTTACTCTGTTTCTTTTCATGTAGTTATGATATCGTTTAACAAAAACCCTATTTCTTCATCATTTGACTTTTCATTGTCACTAGATCCATTTTCATCATGCTCTTTTGTTGAGGACTTGGAACTAGAAGCCACAAGCGAAATGGACTTCTTTTCCACCTCTTTTTATTTGTTCTTTTCTTTCTTCACTTTCTTCTCTAAGCTAATGAGCTCTTGCTCATGTTCTTCAAGCTTACCAAACAAATTTGTTGTATCCAATGCCAATAGGTTATTAGCTTCCTTAATAGCGGCCCCTTGGGTTGTCATTCCCTATTAAGACATCTTAAAAAAATTAGTAGCAATATCATTGGAAACCGACTTACCAAGTGCATTCAAACGGTTTATAAGATGAGTGAATCTCTTTTGCATTTTGGCAATGGTTTCACCATGCTCCATGTGAAAGAGTTCAAACTCTTGATTTAAAGTATTGATTCTTGCTTGTTTGACTTCATTTGTACCCTCATGAGCAACTTGTAATGCATCCTACACAGCTTTAGCGGTTTCACAATGAGAAACACAGTAAAATCCTTCAACTCCTAAAGTAGAAATTAGAATATTCCTTACTTCTAATAACTAGACCACTTTTTCTTATATTTCTAATTCCATTGTGCTCCAAGCTTAGGTATAACAACACCATCCGAATTGGTCATGGTAATTTCAAACGGACAATTTTGGATGGTGTTCCGTACTTTTCTATCAATATAATTGATATGGATAGACATACAATCATTCCAATAAATATAGTTCTCACCATTGAAATCGACACTTTATTATACGCCTCCTTTGGTTCAGAAGTCATAATCTAATAAGCGAATTTGAAGCATAAGATAAACCGGTGCTCGTGATACCACTTGCTAGACGAGGGTAGCGATCTATGGGGGGGGGGGGGGTTGAATAGATTGCCTAATAAAAATTTTCTATTAAAATTTTATTTTGAAAAGTATTTTTCTATGGCAAGGGAAAGAGAATTCGGATCGAATCTTATCTATCCGAACCGTTATTGGTAGAATCAGATTTACGTACAACCGTTGTAGAATGTATGCAAAAGATGGGAAAAGCCAATCAACAAGTTCAATATAATTTTTTTTGAATATAAACCACACTTAATATAAACGATTTCCAATGACAAGTAAAATAAAACTTGACTAAGGAATTTTGTCGGACACTTAGTGTGCAGTAATTTTATCGAACACTTGGTGTGCAATACACCAAGCTTGATTCTTTTTGTGTTAAAGTTATAACAAATAAATTGAAATGACTTAGATTGCAATGTTTTCACAAAACAGTTTTAAAATCTTCAACACAACCATAATTTTCAACAATTCAAATTCCACACTAATTATTCTCAAAATAGAGAGAGAGAGAGAGAGAGTAGAGAGAGAGAACACCAAGATTTGTTTAGGCAGTTCCCCAATTGTCCTCACTATGGGTACGCCTGTCCTCAATTCGAAATCAAATTAAGATATTATAATTAACCTTTGCAATATCAGTTTATAAGAGAAGTAGTAGAAATTAAAATCCCAAAACCTTATGTTTGATGTTGATCCTAGCTCATTCTCTACCCTTGATCTTAACAAGACCAAATCCTACAAGATATCCAATATGATCTTCCGGTTACTGTTACTCCTTTGGCCAAACTACAGATCTTCAAAGCTTTCACTCGGCTGATCCTCTGGTTACTGCTACTCCTTTGCAAGAACCTCCGTTCTTCAAAGTCTCCACTTGATTGAATCAAAGTTGATAAGACTTATGCAAAAATCTCCAAATCAACCTTTAATCTTGGAGTAAAAACCCTAGAGGTTTTATCCTTGAATCCCCAAAGAAAACGTTAATCCAATTTGATTACACAAACCTAAATTGGACCTTATCAATCTTATCTTGACAATAAACAATAAAAAATGATTATGTGTAGTTGATGAATACGTCAAAGAAAGGTTGATGATATTTTTTTGTATCTTTCAAGTTTCAATGCTTAGAAAATGATGCATGAATGAGTATTTATATGTATGTGTGTGTGTAGAAAAGAAATGAGCAAAACAAATTTTTAGCCAAAATGCTATTTAGAATTTGGTACAGAATGTATTGACTCTAAAATAAAATGAGTCAATACATCAGCTGAATGAGTTAATACAAGGCCAAATAGAGTCAATATATTGTATGTAGTAACCAATTTGTAAAAAAGTTTCAGGATGAGTCGACTCCAAGTACGAGAGAGTTGACCCATTCGCTCAATGTATCAACCAATCCCTTCAATGTATCGATACATTAAAGACATTGACAAATCCAAGAATGAGTCGACCCGTTTGCAGGATGTATTGATCTATTTTTCTTTTGTATCGACACATTAGAGGCAGATCCAAATTCTTTTAAATTCCACTCAGTATGTATCGACCCATACTAAAGATGTATCGAACCGTGCATGACTTTTTGTGAAAAACTCATATTTTGGCATGTGATAACTTATGTAATATAGTCTTACATATTTTATAATGATGATGCACATTTAGACAAAGATTGTAAGGTCTAATTACACAAAAATCTAAGCTACATAACTTTGACATCATACAAAACCTATATAAGAGAATATTGCACTCACATATGCAATCTATTTGAGTGGTTCTTGGGCTAGCCACTAGTCTTGATTTGGAAATAGAGCAAATGGATGTGAAGACAACTTTCTTTCCTGGTGATCTACATGAAGAAATTTACATGGAGCAATCAGATGGATTCCAAAAGAAGACTATGTTTGCAAATTTATAAGGATTCCTTATGGTTTGAAACAAGCACCTCACCAATGGTATCAAAAGTTCAATTTAGTGATGATTGAACATGGGTAAAAGATGACCAAAGCCGATCATTATGTGTTTTTCTGGAATTTCTCTGAAGGTGATTTCATTATTCTCTTGCTTTATGTGGATGATATGCTAACTATTGAAAATAATATTTCAAGAATTAAAGAGTTGAAGAACACTCCGAGTGAATCTTTTGCTAAGAAGGATTTAGGAGAGATTTAGAAAATTTTTGGTATTGAAATTGTTTGAGATCGAAATGAGAAAAGGTTATACTTGTCACAAGAAATGTATGTGGAGAAAGTCCTGCAGCGTTTTAGTATGGATAAGGCTAAAGCAGTGAGCATTCCACTTGCTTCTCATTTAAAGCTCAGTCATAAACTATGTCCATCTACGAGTGAAGAAAATTTAAGTATGAAGAACATTCCGTATTCGTCGGCCATTGGTAGTTTGATATATGATATGGTTTGTACAAGACACAATATTGCCCATGTCGTGGAAATGACGAGTCGTTATCTCTCAAATCCAGAAAAAGATATTTGGGAGGTCGTGAAGTGGGTGATGAAATATTTGCGCGGCTCGTAAAATTTGAAGCTAATCTTGGAATGTAAGAAGTCTATGTTGGTTAGGTATACAAATTTAGATCTAGCCAAAAACTTAAATGTTCGAATCCCTTTCATTAACAATTTTAAGTATTTGAAAAATTTATGATCACGTAATTTTTGTAATTTTTTTTAAGTTTAAATTGGTCATGTTTGTCAAAGTAGGAAAAACACATTTCTTTTGACATCATTCTCTTCTCTGTGTCTTCATAATACAAATCAAACATAACTAAATTTTTGATTGTTTGACTTTGAACCACTAGTTAAAATCTTTAGCATTTTAAAAATTAAAATGTAAGGGAATCTAAGTAAGAACATATCTTAAAACAAATTGGAGAAAATCATGACTTGCAATGATGAAACTCAGAAAGAAGATAACTTAAAAAAGAAAATAATGAAAAAGTTAAAAATGGATGATGTTGAAATTTTTTGAAGGAGCCCAATAAATTTTCCACTAAAAAGAATGAGCAAAATAGTTTGGAAGGAAGTGGTAGATCACATTAATTCACTATGCAATTTGTCACATCAATGTAAGTTAATGTTTTAAATCAAAGTTTAAGGGAAAAAAAGATCAAATTGACTAACATACTTGTTTTGGAAAAATTTAAAAATAAAATTTATTAATTAAAAAATCAAAGTAAAACCCTAATTAAGTAAAAAGAACACCCAACTCATTAAAAATAGGATAGAATTTCCATTTCTTTTTTTCTTCTAAAACTCTTTCAACTTTTTTCCTTTTCCTCTTTCCTACGTTGTTCATTTGAACATGACTGGTGCCGTTGAATTGTAGGGTTTTAGATAGAGACTGACTCCTCTACCTTTTCGCACAGCATCAAACTCCAAAATAAAACCCTGATTTGTTTCTCATTCCTTTTATAACTTGAAAACAAATCCCAGATCTTCTCAAACAATTGCTCTCTCCACCTTCATGTGATCGGTAAAACTAACCTTTTTCTTCTCCCCATCTTGCTTATTCTATAAAAAAAATGATTTTTTTTCGAAATGGGTATTAAAAAAAATGATTTTTTTCGAAATGGGTACTGATAAATTTGAGTTTTTTAGGTCAATTTTGTTTCACTTGTAATTTATGTTTAGTAAGTTTTGGTGGGTCTTCTTCATTTATAGCTCTGGATTTGTTCATTAGTGTGCATCTTACATTTTGGGTTGCAAGTAGTGTAGCTTGATCCCATTTGATTCACTCAGGACTATTGCACAATCTTGAGTGGATAGTGTAGAAGTTAAAGTTAATTTTTGGAATTTGTTAATCTTCTGGTTTATGTGATTCTTATTAGGAATTGTTCTTTTTCAGATTCTTTATGGCAAAACCAAGTTTAGCTGATAGTAGGACTAGAAGATCTGTGCAGATCTTTATAGTCGCCGGTTTGTGTTGTTTCTTCTACGTATTGGGCTCGTGGCAGCAAAGTGGTTTCGGAAAGGGAGATGGTTTGGCTTTGGAGATTACTAAGAAAGGTGTTGCATGTGATATAGTTCCGAATTTAAGTTTTGATTCTCATCATAGTGGAGAAGTTAGCAAAATTGATGGGGTTGATTCAAAACCTAAGGTATTTAAACCTTGTAAAGCTCGATATGCTGATTACACGCCCTGCCATGATCAAAAGCGAGCCATGACTTTTTCCAGGGATAACATGATTTATCGAGAGAGGCATTGCCCCCGTGAGGAAGAGAAGTTACATTGTTTGATCCCTGCACCAAAAGGGTATGTAACACCGTTTCCATGGCCGAAGAGCCGTGATTATGTTCCGTATGCGAATGCACCTTACAAGAGTCTTACAGTTGAGAAGGCTATTCAGAACTGGATCCAATATGAGGGAAATGTGTTTAGGTTCCCGGGTGGTGGAACCCAATTCCCTCAAGGGGCTGACAAATATATTGATCAAATTGCTTCTGTGATACCGATAGAGAATGGAACAGTCAGGACAGCATTGGACACTGGTTGTGGGGTACGTTTGTCATTTCAAATTCCTTAGGGCTTGTATGAAATTCTTTTGTTGACTTTGTTCATGTTAATTTGATTAGCATCGTAGTTAGAGTTCAGGGTTGTCAAAGAGTGGCTATAGCTGCGCTATGCCGTCATAGCATTGCAGAATTTGAACAAGTTGCCATTGTTCTTCAATACACCATTTAGTATAAAGTGTTGTCGAATAGTGGTTATAACGCCACTATAACATTAAGTTAGTTTGTTTTAGCTATGTATCCATAATAATGTATGGTTGTTTCGAACAGGTTGCTAGTTGGGGGGCATATCTTTGGAGCAGAAATGTTATTGCCATGTCATTTGCACCAAGAGACTCTCATGAAGCACAAGTACAATTTGCACTTGAAAGGGGTGTACCTGCCGTTATTGGTGTCCTAGGAACCATAAAACTGCCTTATCCCTCTGCAGCCTTTGATATGGCGCATTGTTCTCGTTGCTTAATTCCTTGGGGATCAAATGGTGAGAAATTGACCTTAAGATCTATAATTTATTTTGTACGAAATGCTTATCTTCACATTCTTATTCTGTTTGATTTGGCACCATATATCACACGACTTGTGATAAAAGCTATTTGAAAGTGTATTTTGGGTTGTGATTGGCAGGTGGAATTTATATGATGGAAGTTGACCGAGTTCTAAGACCTGGTGGTTATTGGGTGCTTTCGGGGCCTCCAATCCATTGGAAGGTTCATTACAAAGCTTGGCAAAGACCTAAGGAGGATCTCGAGGAAGAACAAAGAAAGATTGAAGAGGTTGCTAAGCTCCTTTGCTGGGAGAAGAAATCCGAGGAACATGAGATTGGTGTCTGGCAGAAAACTATTGACTCTGAAACATGTCGAAGCAGACAAGAAGATTCTGGTGTAAAATTCTGTGAATCAACCGATGCTGATGATGCTTGGTATGCACTTTCTTTCAGTGTCAATTTGTTTTACACACTTTAACATCCATTATAGGTAGTATTCAATTTATTTCCACTAACTATGAAGTCATTTGAAGAAAAAATTGTGCACGAAAGTTGTGAGAATGAAGAGGAAAATCTGAGTATTTATTTTTGTAGGAATAAGAAAATGGAGGCATGTGTTACTCGTAATCCGAAAGTCCACGGAGATCTCAAGCCTTTTCCACAGAGACTTTATGCCGTCCCTCCTAAAATTGCCAGTGGCTCTGTTCCTGGAATTTCTGCTGAAACATATCATGATGATAACAAAAACTGGAAAAAACATGTAACTGCTTACAAGAAAATAAATAAACTCTTGGACTCTGGAAGGTATCGCAATATCATGGATATGAATGCTGGTTTGGGTAGTTTCGCTGCTGCGATTCAATCTCCTAAGCTATGGGTTATGAACGTTATTCCTACTATAGCTGACAAACATACTCTGGGTGTTATATATCAGCGAGGACTTATAGGCATTTATCATGATTGGTATAGTTTCCTAACTTCCTCCTTCTATTTTATATACTTAAGTTGAAATGCTTGTTAGAATCTCAGATAATACTAATCTTGTATGATTTCATTTCTTTTCTTGATTAATAATATGAAAATGTCGGCACTGTCTTGTATTGTTTTGCTATGGCCCAGGTGTGAAGCTTTCTCCACATATCCCAGGACATACGACCTCATTCATAGCAATGGTCTCTTTAGTCTGTACAAAGACAAGTGAGTATTTTCTTCGGATACTTGGTTATTCAATTATCCTTCAGTTATTTTTAATTCTTAATTTGAATGAACTTGATAGCAAATCTCAGTCACTAGTTTATAGCCCTTGCGTATAATGCGATGTAGATTGTTGTCAAGATGGTATTAAAATGATTTCTAGATAACGAGTTTAAAATGCAGATGTAACATAGAAGACATTCTTCTGGAGATGGACCGTATTTTACGACCAGAAGGTGCTGTGATATTCCGCGATGAAGTCGATATCTTAATCAAGGTAAAGAAAATTGTTGGAGGAATGAGATGGAATACTAAATTGGTTGACCATGAGGACGGGCCACTTGTTCCAGAAAAGATACTAATTGCTGTTAAGCAGTATTGGGTTGCTGATACGAATGCCACATCAACAGAGTAACCACTCAAAGACGAATTCGAAGGCTTGTCCTAAGTTTACTAGTGTCTTTCTCAATACAATCCTAATAGAGTTCATATAGTTTTATCATATGAGCGCACGTTGGCTTGAGTATCGACACACCTGTTATACAAGGAAAGGCTGATCTACGTAGCACCAACGCTTTGGATTGAAAGCATGGTTGATGTTCGACACCGCACATGCATTTATATTCAATGGTGTTTATGTGTCGGTGTCACGTCTTATGTCTTGCGTCTGTATTAGTGCTTTATCGGTGCTGATAAGTTATGCTCAAGTGTCCCTTTCCCCTCACAATTTAGTTTTGTTATAGGATGTTGTTACATTCAAAAGTCAAGCAAACACTGGCTTTTAAAGTCGAAGCCTCGCCACTGATCTTTGTACTTCTTGCATAGATTTCTTTCATAGCTCGCAAGTAAGATTAAAATTGAATTGCTCTTTGATTAAGCTATTCCTAAAGGTTTTGATCTTGTGAAAATGGGTGCAAGGTTGAAACCATTCTCTCAGAATTTGTGATCAATAATGGTTTGATTAAATTAATTGAATTAAGTAAGAGTTTGGAGTAATTTTTTTTGAAAAGGATGAGTTTGAAGTGAAATTTGGTGTGATATTCTTAATCTAATATAAATACAGGTTTTTATTAATACTGAGGTTTAAAGGTGAAATCAATTTTCGGTTATGATTATAAGGGTTGGTGAACCACTTTTGGGCCACTATTAAGTTATAACATATGCGTGTGTGTAGGGGTGTTTGTGGTGCGATTTTGATGTTAAAAATCATTTGAACTACAAGAGAAAAAAGTACGCGATTCAGTTGACTTTTAGAAATAAAATCAAATTAAACAAAACTAAACTAATGCGGTTTGGGTTGGTTTGATTTTTTACAAGATTTTTATTAAGGCATACATACACCTATAGAGGAAAACATAACTTTGTGTTTAGTTATTCATACAAAATCAAATAACAAATTTAGACAAAAACTTCTCATTCAATATACAAATATAAAATTAGACAAAAGGAATAAAAAACATAAAATAGTAGCATAAAACAATATCAAAAATATTATAAATATAAAATTAGACAAAAGGAATAAAAAACATAAAATAGTAGCATAAAACAATATCAAAAATATTATAATAATAAAAAAAGAAGGAGATGAGAGATAGAGAAGATGAAAAAGAAAGAACATAAGAGATGCGAGATTAGAGAAGAAATGTGCAATAAAAACGTAATTGAAAGCGGAAACTATAACATAAAATGAGAAGATGAAAAATAAAGAACATAAGAAGGGAGAGAGATTAGAGTAGAATAGGTGAGATGTAATATGACAAAGAAGATGAGAAGAATGTACGATACTACTAGGAGAGATTTGAGACAGTTGAAACTAAAACTCTAAGTGTGAGTAAAAGAATACTTCTAAGGTTAAGGCATAATAGGTTTGGGTTTTTGGTTGGATGTGAGATAAGTGAAGTTTGGATTGTAACATAATGCAGTTTGGTTTGGTTCCGTTCCGTTTGCAAAATACAAATCGCAAAGCAAACTGAACCGCACGATTTTGTTGAGAAAGGCCCTTTCGCACATATTGGAGATTGAAATTCAGAAAAACCAATTATACATCAAATCTCTTCATCACAAACTCAACCCCATTCAAGTAAAAACGTATCTGAATTTTAATTTTCGGACTATTCCCTAGAACAATGTTTTGTTTGTGTGTGCTAAACAAATGTGTGAATCCGAAGTTCAAAATCCGGACACACTCCCTGGACAATATTTTACGTATTGTATGGGTCTTTACTTCTGGACAAAGGGGTGGATCCAAGTTTCAAAATACAAACAAACCCCTGAACAATATTATGAACCCCTTGACTGTAACTAGGAACAAATTTTCATATCATTTGAAAACCATACATTATTCACACAATGAATCATACACATAAGTCAGTCATAACTAAGATCAAATTTTCATAAAACACGTCTAACTATACAAAATTTCAAAATGTTCACAAAATACAAATAATAATACAACTACTGTGTATCTAACGCCCCTGTTCCTCATATACCTTATATACTGCAATGCGTGCCATGTCTCTGCTAAGATTGTCTGTAAAGTGATCCTCTTAGGAGTGCCTTCTTGAAACTCTTTTTTAGCTATGAACTCTCCTAATAGTAACAATACGGAGAAATATAGACAATACATCCACAACATGGTCCACCATTGTCTTATCCTCTTTTAGTAACTCCAGATGAGTTGGCATATGAGGATCTTCTTATGGCTCTAGTGTCATGTAAGGATGAGACACTCTATACAACCATTGGATGTAACTATATTTTACACTCCATAGACGAGAAGGTGGAACACTATGTACATTCTTTGGTATCAAATGCTCATGGTAATCTGTAAGTATGAGAAGCAATCTAGGAAGGCGGGTTGGGGGAGGGGTGTTGAATTAGATATTTTTTGGGTTTTTTCTATTTTTTATGCAAAGTTTCTTCTCTTTTAATTTTTCTGGAATTGTGTAATAAATTTTATCTTGAACTTGAATGTAAAGGACATAAAATTAAAAGAAAGAATGTAAAAGATACACAAGATTTATACTAGTTACCCTTATCAACCAAGAGTACATATAGTCCCTCCACTCCTTTGAGTATTTTTCATTATGGTCAGATCTTTGTATAAGTCTTCAACAAGACCTTCTTACAATCTTCTAATCACAAACCCGAGAAAGAACCTTACTTTCTTTATAATATCTTATCACTATAAACCTAGTGATTAAGATACAACAAACATTTTGAATAACTTTGAATATTTTGGTCTTTGACTTAAATCCAAGTTTGATCCTTTGATATTCTCTTTCGCAATGTTACAATCCAAGCTTAATGTATTTCAAGTGCTTAGAAAGTCTAAATTTCTTTTGTATAATTTGAAATTGATGCAAAAAATTTCTACTTTAAAAATGACGAATACTTAGAGAAGTTTCAATTGCTACAAAAATAAATTTTGGAAAAAGGTAGTTTGTATTTCTAATGCATAGACACTTATATACATCATAAGACACCCCTTTGTAATGGTGCATAAGTTTAAAAATAAACCATGATGCATTGCAATGAGTGGCATCATTTTAAACAGGAAAAGAGACAATGTTTCATCTTGGTAGTCGAATACCAATATGTGGTAGTTGACTACCACTTGTCCAACATTCAAAATTTCAAATTTAAACACGGGTAGCTGAATACTAATATGTGGTAGTCGATTACCACCTCTTCCAGAAGTGAAAATATGCCATTTTTTTACCTGATAGTCGAATACCACTTCTTGGTAGTCGATTATCACTTTGCCATTTTGCTTAAATTTGAATTTTAAATGTATGACTTCAATTATGATCATGAATTATTATGAAAAAAAAGTTTAGATGAAGTGAGAGATGAGTTTTTTGAGAAATTGAACTTGTTAACATGGATTGCAACATGTACCTTAGGTTATGCTTTCTTGTCTCAAACATCACTTAGATTCCAACGTTCATTCAATATTGATCATATTCGTTTATGATATGCATGATGCTACATGATCTTCATTTCTTGATCATGAGCATGCACAAATATGATTTCCATATCTTGTTTAAGAACATGATTTCTAAGGAAATGATGTCTGATGTCTATGTGCTTTATTATTGAATACATTACTGAGTTTAAATTTATGGCACTTGTGTTGTCACACCTTAGGGTAATTCAGCTTAGGTTTAAACCATAATCACATAACTGTTTCTTTAATCAAAGTACTTACGCACATCAATTTACAACAACAATATACTCTGCTTCTGCGCTACATAGAGAAACACATGCTTGCTTCTTACATGAACAAGAAACTAGTGCATTAACTAATTTGTGACATATTCCACCTGTGCATTTTCTATCAGTTTTGCATCCAACATAATCAGAATCAGATATACGACCAAATCACACAGACTACCTTTTGCATACCATAATCATACGTTTGTGGTTCCTTTATGATATTTCATAATCCTTTAAACAGAAGAGAGATGAGAAATTTTTTATAAGCTTGATAATGGGCACATAAAAAAACATTAAACATTATGTCAGGTTTACTAGCAGTAAGATAAAGTTACAAACCAATCATACCTCTATACATTGTTATGTCAATTAGAATTACGGATTCATCTTGATCAAGATATGTACTTTAACTCATTAGAGTGGAAATTTATTTAAATTTATCCATGTCAAACTTATTCAAAAGTTCTTTGCAATACTTGGATTGATTTATGAATATGTCATTCTTTTCTTGTTTGATTTACAATTGAAGAGAATAATTTAGTTTACCCATCATGGAAATTTCAAACTCTTCTTGCATCATGCTTGAAAATGCTTCACATAAGGTTTCATTTGTGGAGTCTAAGATAATATCACCAACATAGATTTGAAATAGCAAGGTGTGATTGTTAATCTTCTTGATAAATAATGTTATATCCACCTTTACTTTGTTGAAACCTCTTTCACATAGAAATTTGCTTAATCTATCATACCAAGTCCTTGGTGTTTGTTTCAAGTCATAAAGAGTCTTATTTAATTTGTACACACGAGAAGGATTCTTAAAGTATTCAAAGCTCGGATGTTAACTTACATAGACTTCCTCTTGAATATATCCATTCAAGAATGTAATTTTAACGTTCATTTGGAATAAATAAAAATTCAAAGAACATGCATATACAAACAATAATCTAATAGCCTCTAATCGTACAAAAATATCAAATGTTTTATCAAAATAAATACCTTCTTCTTGATTGTAGTCTTGGGCTACCAATCTAGACTTATTTCTAATATTATAACATTTCCGTCAAGTTTATTTTTAAACATCCATTTAGTACCAATGATGTGTTTACGATTAGGTCTAGGAACAAGTTCCCAAATGTTATTTCTTTCAAATTGATCCAATTCCTCTTTCGTAGCAAGAATACATTGTTCATCATTTAA